CCGTCTCACTTAACAACATCAACTTTAGGCTCTGTTGGGGGTCACTGAGTTGAGGTCTACTTTAACAACCGCACGGTTCATTTAACAACTGCAGCGATTTGCTTCAATGACCAAGGTTAAAAAAAAAAAAAGAAGATTGCAAGATCGGACACACCTGCCTTGCTCGACAATGAAAATTCCAGTCCCGATTGTGGTCGTATATCAAGGACCCCCTGTACCATTTTTTTTTAATTTAACCTTGTGTTATCGCCAATACTGGAGGTTTTCGACAAGGGATTGAAGGTCCATTTGTCTGAAATGGTATAGACTAGAGCAGGGGTCGCCAACCTTTTGGACCTCAGGAACCACCAAACTCATAATTTTAGATCCCAGGGATCACTAACCGGTTCTGTGGGCGTGGCCTAATTTGTGGGTGTGGCTTGGTGTCATGTGACTGGGTGGGCATGGCTTGTGTGTAAATATTATAAATATTGATACAAATATTGATTTTTTTTTAATTAAAAAAGAGTAACTTTTATCCAAAATCAGGCCAAGCAGGCAGGCAGATTGAGTTGCTCACAGAATCATAGATTCATTCATAGATCTATCTATCTGCCATCGGCTAGCTCAGTCTGTCACATAAAATTTACTAGCGAGCAAACTCACAAAATTAACTCATAACACACCGTGCATGTAAATATTGAATTTGTTATTTAAAAAAAAAGAGCAACTTTTATCCAAAATGAGGCAAAGCAGGCAGACTGAGTTGCTCACTGAGTCATTCGGTGATCTATCTGCCATCGGCTAGCTCAGTCTCCCAAATTTGCTTGCCGTGAGTCTGCACTGAATTTGCTTGCAAGCAAACCTTCAGTCCTAAGGGAGGTTCAGCTGTGCTTAGCTAGAAAGCAAGAAATCCAACCATTTCCTACTTCCTAGCTAATCTAAATCTCCCGGCAAAGCTGATGGTTGGAAAAAGGAAAAATAGCAATTTAGCGGGCAAGTTTGCCGGGTAAGGAGTGAGTGGACGGGGAGCCTTCCTGCGGGCGGCGCAGCCTTGTGTTTCTGCGCAGCCGGGATTAATTGCTTTGTGGGGGTGCTCTGGGGGTGACATTTCTCTGCGGACCACCAAAATTTTCTCACGGCCCACCAGTGGGCCGTGGCCCACCGGTTGGCGACCGCTGGACTAAAAGACCTCTTAAGGTCCCTCCCAGCTCTTGTTATTCTGTATTTTGACGGGTGCACTAGAAGACCTCTAAAGTCCCTTCCAACCCTTGTTATTCTGTAATTCTGTAAGGGTCTTCTGCCTGAGCAGGGGGTTGGACTAGAAGACCTCTTGAGGTCCCTTCCAACCCTTGTTATTCTGTAATTCTGTAAGGGTCTTCTGCCTGAGCAGGGGGTTGGACTAGAAGACCTTTTAAGGTCCCTTCCAACCCTTGTAATTCTGTAAGGGTCTCCTACTTGAACAGGGGGCTGGACTAGAAGACCTCCAAGGTCCCTTCCCGCTCAAGTCTGAATTGAGTAGCCTAATGAAGAAGGACTGGGGGACGGGGGGCATGATAGCATTATTCTAGTATTTGAGGGGCGGCCAAATTATTCTCCAGAGCACCAGAAGGCAGGAGAAGCAGCGACGGATGGAAACTATTCAGAAGCAACCTGGAACTAAGGAAGGAATTTCCTGATTGTGAGAACAATTAACCAGTGGAACTGCTTGCCACTGGAAATTGTGGGTGCTCCATCACTGGTGTGTGGGGGGGTGTTAAGAAGAGACTGGACAGCCATTTCTCTGGGATGGGATAAGCCTGTCTGGGAGAGGCCTGTCTGAGCAGGGGGGGGGGGGGGGGGTTGGACTAGAAGACCTCCAAGGTGCCTTCCAACTCTTTGTTATTCTATTGTGTCTCCTCCACTGCAGGTTACAGCAACGACAGGAAGAAGCAGCTGAAGCAACTTTTCAAGTCGTTCCAGGCGCAGCACAAGAATTAACGCTCAGCCAGAAGATGGCTAAGATTTAAAATAATAATAATAATAATAATAATAATAATAATAATAATAATAA